AGAATTTAGTATCATGCATAGGGAAGACTGAGTTAAATTGTTTGGTTATACATTGTGAATTTCTTATGACGCACACTATTTTATATTGCAAGTATTATTTGTGCTCTAATTATGCAAGGTGCGCTTAGAGGCAAAGGTATATGATTGGTGTAATGATTAATTTATTACTCATTCATGATTATGCAAGCAGGATAAGTAAAGGAAGAATTTAAGTCTTCTAAGACGAGGTTAAGGTTTTGGGGTGCCTTATGCACTCAAGGTGTTTATACACTGAGGTAGTAAAGGAATAAATAATAAATGTTGCTTGCCACTAATAAATCAAGAATTGAAATTGAAAAGTTGTTTTACTTGATTGAATTGATATTGGATTGATTGTATTGTTATGCATATGAGTCATCACCAAGTCTAAACCTGTAAATCACGTAAAGTGCAAGATGGATGAGCAATAAAACTCTGGATTGGTGCACTTCTGGAGTAATGACAATAAGGGGTTGGGGTACATGGGGTATTAGCCATGTACTTTTCTCGAGGCCGTCTGATCTACAAGTCTCTTATTTCAAATATTTTTCAAAACTAGGAGGTAGGTGAGATCTCATACTAACTACGGTCACGGAGTCGCGCCCGTGGTCGTTGGATGTTTATTGATGTTTCCGAAAGGAGGCATGGGGTTTTTCTTTTATTGATGTTCCAAATGGAGCATGGGTTGGACAACTAACCTTTTCTATTGCGTAATCCAATGAATAAAAATAATGATTTACCTATTATTAATTAATGGAGTCTTAGTAATATAAATAGTTGAGTCGTGTGTTGAGTCTATAATTTAATGATGCATGATGATTGATTATTAGTAGCATGTTATGAATTTCTTAATTTATTTTGCAGCTTGTATGTACTCAGCATTGCTGATTGCGTGCTTTGTGTGTCTTTCTTTGGTCATGGCCTTCGCCTTTCAATGACCCTGTGACGATCCAATTTTTACACTTGTAATATTGGAGAGCAGAATTACCACATGTTCTTACACATGCAGCATTCATCAGGGTTGTGGGATCTTGAGTAGAGAGTTGGTTGTTTGCATTTTATTTCTTTTGCAAGTTTGAATTTATTTCAATTCAATTTTATTCGACACTATTTCTTTTGGGTTTGAATTTATTTGAACACTGAATTTAATCACTTACTACTTTTATTGGGTTTTGAATAAGGGCCTTAATGGTTCCAAGTTGTATGACTTAATTTGGTTTCATTCGTTGGTTTTGAAACTTATTTATAACTGATTTAGTTTTTCCGTTGCTATTTTCTGATAAAGCCTTGACGTTTGAACACGTGGCGGTAGCACGCCAGTAATTCTCTTAAATATTGTTCAGGGTCCTCATAGGTTTAAAGAGAGAATTATTGGGGTGTTACAGGCGATGATTTTATGCACACCAGCAGACATTTGGGCAAGGCTAACCCATGGTGGGCGAAAATTTTGTTGTGCGTTGCAGGCTTGCAGCCCGGCCCCTTATCTTCATGGGCGATGACTCGACCCTCGACTAATGGCTCCGAACCTTTTTTATCGCGTTTGTACGTCTTTCCGAGTTGGAAATTGAGGTGTTTTTTGCACTCGTGTGTCTTGTGTGCGATAAAGTGTTGTGGTCACCTTCTATTATTATTAAGACCCACTTCGTCATTTGCTGAAAGCAATGTTGCCCGTTACTTAGTAAATTTTGACAAAAACTTCGGGAGGTCATAACTTAGTGCTCGTGTGTCCGAATTGAGCAAATATGAACCCCCTACCCCCTCACAATCCTTAACTATCCCTACATCAACCACTACTATATGAACCCATACTATCGAATCTATACTATATGAAACTCTACTATCCTAACCCTTATTATACCTTAATAACCCTACTATCCTAACCCATATTGTTTAACCCTTACTATACAAACCCGTACTACACTAACCTCTATTATCCCTACTTCAACCCCTATTATATTAACACTACTAGAAAACAGTAAAATAACGACGGAAATTTTCCGTTGGAAATATTCCACTTTCCGTCGAAAAACCTGTTTCCCACGGAATTTTCGTCGGAACTGGTTGTCGGAAAACCTTTTGTAGGAAAATGGGCCTTTTCCGACGGAATTTCCGTCGGAACCACTATTCTGACGGTATTCAGTCTGCCGGAAGTTATTTTTAGGCCCGTAATAGTCCGTCGGAAATGTACGACGCACTGTATTCCGCCAGAAATTTCCGACGAAAATTCCGTCGAAAAATGCTTTTAAAATAACAAAAAAAATTCCTACCCCCACCAGCAGCCACCACCCCAGCCCATCTAACCCGTACCTTCACCCACTACCCAACACCCCTAAACCTCCACCAAAACCCACCTAACTCCAGACCCCCCTAACCCCTACCCCCACAGCACCAACCACCACCCAACCACCTAACCCGTACCACCACCTACTACCCAACCACCAAACAAACCAGAACCCACAAACCAAACCAGACCCCCTAACCCTAAACGACCAGACCCACCACCTTAACATAGCCCACCTAACCTTAGCCCAAATCTACAACCCTAAGCTTCACAAATTCGGCCGAACCCCCCAACCTAAGCAAACCACCACCACCATGGCCACCGAATACCACAATCACCACCAAAAATTAACCAAAAAAAAAATTAAAGAAAGAAAATTGAAATAAAATAAGATACATACCTTAATTCGACCACACACGACCTCAGAATTGGGTTTAAGAGGTCTAATTTGACCTGAAAACTTTTGTTTTCAACATGAGAAGAGAGAAAAAGGACAAAAACAAATGGAAATTATTGTCAGTGATGGTGATGGTGTTGATGTTGGTGGTGATATCAGTGGTGAGCGTTGCCGGTGGTGGTGGGGGATACGAGATTTTCGACAAAGAGGAAAGTAGAGGAGCGAAAGAGGAGAAGTGAACAGGAGAAGAGAGGAGAAGAGAACGACAGAGAGAAGGAGAAAGAGGGAGAATGAAGAGGAAAGAAGATAAGGAGAGGAGAGAGAAGAGGAAAGACAAAGAGGAAAAGAGGCGAAAATGAAGCAGTGTAGGGTTTTAAGAAGTTTGGGATTTTTATTTTAAGAAAATATATTTTGACGGACTATAAATCCGTCGGAAAACACATTTTCCAACTGAAAATTCCGTCGGAACGCACATATATTCCGACTGATTTTTATTCCGTCGGAAATTTCCGACGGATTTGTGACGGAATTATTGAATTCGTCGGAAATATCCGACGGATTTTTGACTTTTCCGACGTAATAATGTGTCCGTTGGAACCAGTCCGTCGCTATTTGCCTGTTTTCTAGTAGTGTAACCCCCTAATATAGTAACCCCTATTATCTTAACCTCTACTATCCTAACCAATTAAACTATCAAACACCTACTATCCCTTTGTAACCGCTACTATACTACCCTCTACTATCTTAACCCTTATTATTCTAACCCCTACCACCCTACCACCCTATCCCCTATTATCCCTTAATAACCCCTCTATATGAACCCCCTGCTATATGAACAGTTACTATAACCCCTACTATACTAACCCCTCTAATATCTTCACAAACCCCTTATATTTAACCGCCACTATACTATACCTTTACTATCCCTACTTTCCTAACCCTAACTATATCCACCCCTATTATATTAACCATATTATCCAACCCCTACTACCCTAACCCATTTATCTAACCCCTACTATCAAACTCCCTTTATGGTAACTAAACACCCCCCTTTATGGTAACCAAACCCCTTATGGTAACCAAACACCCCCCTCTTATGGTAACTAATAAACTAAACACCCCCCCTTTACCTTTTATGGTAACTAAACAATCCCCCCGCTTTATGGTAACTAAACACCTCTTTTATGGTAACTAAATCCCCTATGGTAACCAAACACCCCCTCTTATGGTAACTACACCCCCCTTTACAAAACCGCTTATGCTAACAAAACACTACCCCCCTTATGGTAACTAAACACCCCCTTTATGGTAAGTAAACACCTCCCTACACCCTAAACCTATCCTATATCCTATACCCTAAACCTTAAATAGTCCTATTTTGTACTCATAATATTTATTTTGGAGTAGCTTATAATTAATAGTATCAATTTGGTGTTGTAATTAATTTAATTGGTAACGGTGCCATTGACAACTACAATTCTTGTCTTCTACACTACACCTAACTTATTATCATCATGTCAATCTTCTTCATTTGCTTAAACGCCTTAATCCTTTATTATCATGCCAATCTGCTTCTTTTGCTTAAACACCTTAATCCCTTATGTGGGGCCTACTACCTACTAAATGAACCAACATGATGGTTTTCTAAGAGGTCACTCATCCTAACACTACTTTCTATCATTGTGGCTCATGTTAAGCGGTGTGACAAAGTTTTACATTGGCTATCACTGGCTTACCGTAACCCTCCTCCTTTATCAAAGCTTTGGATTGGCAACGGAAAACCCACTAGTAGAGTTTTACATGTCAGTAATCAATATAAAAATTTTCATATTTTTCCAAAACTTCAATACTTAATTTATATGCAATCTAATTTATTAAAAACAAAAATAAAACTCTTAATCACAAACTTAGCTTCCTGATTTCTTTCAAGGGACTCCATTATCCAACACGATTAAATTTATTGTTTTCTTTCATATGATCATGCATTGACACAGATACATTCTACTTTTCATTAATTTTGGAGGCGAAATTGACTTAATTTGAATACGACATGAGACAATGAGAGTGATTGAACCCGACATGACCTGAGCTGAACTTGACTTGAATACCTAAATCGATAACTGTACAATCTTTAACATCTTCATCAAATTTTTTTAAAAGTATTACAGGTGCACCTTTTAACAACTTAAACATGATAAAAGTGTTTTTTTTAATTTTTTTTAAACAACGTGATAAATCTATTAGCTTATTTGTGAATAATAATATAATATTCGGATGAATAGTATTCCTCTTACACTAAGAGGCTAAAAAAGAACAAAACTCCCTAGTAGAATGACCCATAATGTCTCCGAAATGGCCATATCTAGAAACTAGTATGGCATCGTTATGTCCACTAAAATTCTAAAAATCCCTTTTCTCTTTATGCCAGAATTTCAAACATCAAAGTATGAATCGTTCCAAATATAAACAATCCCATTAAAATCCTTTCCAAAAATAACAAGATTTTTTTGTTGATAAACCTTGCATATTCTTCTTCCTCAAATGGCAGTAGTTGAATTGATAGTAACGGCGACGAAGCTTGCGGGAGTATTGGTTTCATTGACATTTGCAGCTAACGCTTTCTCTTTCTCTCGGTTTCGCAAGAAGAGTCTTCGCCCTTTTCATTCTCCTATTGATGAGAATGCTGATGAACTTGCTCTTTTCAATGTTAATTCTTCAGGTTCATTTTTATTTTATTTAATTAGTTTTCTGAATTAATTTGTTGTTTTTCATTTATTTAATTCAGTTTTGTTCTGTTGTTATAAATTTTGTTTCTGGATTAATTTTGATTGTTGCTTTTGAATTTTGTTTTATTAAGTGATTTATTTGTCAAGGAGATACTTGTATTGTTCGAACACTTCTCTTGTACAATGTATTAAGTGACGAGTTGTTAAGATTTGTCAATCATCACTCGTTAATTTAATTTAGTTTCTGAATTAATTTGTTGTTATTCATTTATTTAATCAGTTTTGTTCTGTTGTTATAAATTTTGTTTCTTGAGTAAATTTAATTATCGTTTGTTTAAAATCTGTTTTATTGAGTGATTTAATTCTGATGTTTTTTTTTTCGTGGTTGTGAAGTGTTAAGTGAGATACTTTATATATATATATATATATATATATATATATATATATATATATATATATATATATATATATATATATATATATATATATAGTTGGAACACTTCTCTGGTACAATGTATTATTTTTTGAAGGGGGAGATTAAAATACATTAATAATAGTCATACGGCACTTACATAAGAAATCGTAATCGAACAATACAAAGACAAAAGAACCAATTACAAGTTCGAAATAAAGGAAACTACAATAGCACGCGCAAAATGACTTTCTGAAATACCCTTGGCTCATATAACGCTGTCCTATGCAGCCTCTTGCAAGGGGGTCTGGCAATATGTTGTAGTTTCTGACGTGAACCTTCATTGACTCAGAATCCCGTACTCCTCGACCAGAAATCAAACTTGGTGCCATACACTTCACCATTGACAATACAATCTCTATTCAAACACGGACCCCAGCTTGGAAGCATAACCCTTCAGCCCAAACCAACAGAAGATCAAACCAAAGCCCCATAGCCAAAAAAACCGGTTCAAAACATGCACCAGAAGATCGGCACACCGATCTGCACACCCCATAGCACACAAACGCACCACATAAGAAGAAAAAATAACAAACCCTAAAGAACAACACACACAACGACTAAAATAAGAAACAGACAGAAAATTAAAAACGAGAACTACAAACGAAACCCTAGCAAACGACCCCGCAGCCAATCCGAGAACCACCATCCAAGCACTGAGGTTCACCAACCCAACCCACAAACCACCGTACAGGAAAGCCCGACCCGCAGGAACCCGCCCGAGAAGCCCAAACCCCACACAACCCTGAACCGCGGCAACGACGGCTGGAAACACCAGAGTGAGAACGGCCCTACGCGAGGGACTTAGAGGGAGATAACTCTCCCTCCCCGTTCTCCTACAAAACGTCGCGACGACGACGGCCAAGGCGGGGAGCAGAGACACGGCGGGGAAGCGGGGAATAAGAGCGGCGGCAAGCCGGCAACAAGGCTGATGAGGAATAGCGACGGTCGGAGAGGGGAAGCGGCGCAAAAAGCTAGGTCGACCGGACAAAAAACCAAAGCGAAAAAAGAAAAAAACACCTCAAGGAGGTAGATCGGAGGCTCGCCGGCATAATGGCATGGGCGGTGAGCCGCACACCCGCCGGCGAGCCTCTTGGCCGGAGCGATTTTGAGAAGGCGGTTGGGTTTTTTGGGGGAGAGAGAGAGCGTACTTTTCTCTGGTACAATGTATTAAGTGATTAGTTGTTGAGATTTGTCAATTATTACTCGTATTTAATAAGAAAGTGGTTGTGATAAGAGATTTATAATTTTTTTTTTTTCAAAAAAAAAGTGCTATTAAAATTTTTGGTGTATTTTGGGCCCTAAGCCCCTAACCATTTGGTGGTGGAAAGAGAAAATGTATCGAAATTATAATGTGGCCTTTCCAAACTCAAACTATGGACAGACAAAAAAAGGAAGGTGTTCAAACTATTTAGACAAATGACTTACTTTTTAATAGGCCATTTTGACCTTTAGTGGTTGAGGTTGTGTGTGTGTGTGATTGATCGATCAATCTTAGAGACTAATTTAGAGTTTTAGACGTTCTCATGTAGGGAATTGAAAATTAAGACTGCACGACTCATTGATTGTGCATGTGTGTATTGTTTTTAGTTGATGATGTGTGCGACTGATCAATATTGAATATTTACTTAGACTTTCTCGTTGGAGGAATTGAAAGTTCAAGCTGCATGAGTGACAAGATTGTATGTATGCCCCGTAGTTAGAGAGAAATTTGATAATGTAGATAGTAGGGGAGGCCGGAAGGTACCTGGAATTTTATCAGAAAGTGAGCCTATATGCTTCGCCATTTACATTAGGATAATACACTAGGCCCTAAAAAATTAGATACTCATTTACTGAACTCCTAGTTCTGGTTTACTTGTATTGGCCGACTGACTGTATACTGATGAGTTGACTACATGGTCCATGCATCTGAGGCATCACTAGAGCATTTGCATGTATTTATGAATGCCGATATCATTTTGATATCAAATTCTGAACATTTATGACTCCTAGACTATTTCTGTTCCAATAACTGTATAATTTTTTCCTATAATTCTGAATGAAATGTAAGCTCTTTGTGAAACTCATTAACAAATCATATATATGTTTTTTAATACCAGATGGGGAACCTGAGTTCTTCTTTGGATTGGCAACAGCACCTGCTCATGTGGAGGATAAGCTTAATGATGCCTGGCTTCAATTTGCAGAAGAAAAACTTTGTGACGAAACTGAATCTGCACAACAACCAGCTGATGCTCTTTTGGCTTCAGGGGCAGGAGATGGTGGGTCTCAACCAGCTTTACCAACAGAAGCTAAGGATAGACCGAAGAAAAAGAAAAGTTATAAGGTAGCTATGGAAGCAATGATAAGAGGTTTTGAGAAAGTAGTTGAAGAAGAAGAAGAAGAAGAAGAAGAGCAGGCTCCAATCAGTGAATGCAACCATAATGTGGCTGCATGGCATAATGTTCCACGCTCGTAAGTTTGAAAGTCCATGTTTCTACTGATTTCTTATTTGTCATGTATTGGAGTTCTATTTTTGTGCATAGATTTTTTTTTTTTTAGGGTCTCAATCTTTTACATTAGAATCTTAGCATTATCTGGAACAATGTTTTACATAGCTCGAAATTTATATCAGGGAGGAGAGACTAAGGTTTTGGTCTGATCCTGATACTGAGCTCAAGCTTGCCAAAAATACTGGTGTCACTGTCTTTCGCATGGGTGTTGATTGGACAAGAATCATGCCGAAGGAGCCAACAGGTGAACTTAATGAAGCTGTAAGTCCTGTTCAAATATATGTCTTGTCTTTCCGCTGCATTCTTCATACATCTCATATCTGTAATCTTATGCTAATTAGAAATTAGACCATCTGAAGAATGGAGCTCATGAAATATGATTTATCATGATTCCTATATAGATATTCCAAAATATATTTTTCACTATGTTTGTCTATATGCTTCTTCAGCCTTTTGATACCTTTATGACACCATCCCTTTTCTTATTTGTGCTCGTTTGTGTATCACTTTTCTTTTAGGTAAATTTTGCAGCATTAGAGCGATACAAGTGGATCATCAATAGGGTTCGGTCATATGGAATGAAGGTGATGCTGACATTGTTTCACCATTCACTTCCTCCGTGGGCTGGAGAGTATGGAGGGTGGAAGCTGGAGAAAACTGTTGATTACTTCATGCATTTTACTAGGTCTTCCTTCTATTCACCCTTATACCTTGATGATTATAATTGTGGCTTCTAAGGGTGATTAACATCTTCAGATGACTCCCAGTCATTAATATTACTTACCTCTGTTTTTTTTTTTAGTTGACACGTATTTCTTTTTAGGAAGTTTTTTTTGGTTGACATGTTCCCTTTTTGGGTAAGTTTTATACCTTGTATTTACTAGTTACCCCACTTGCTTTATCATTCTCTATCACTCTCTCTCCTCTCCTTATAATAATATGCCTAATTTGAACGTGTTAACTAAATAGAAATAGAGTAAGTAATATACAGATCACTCACTTTTTTCTCTTATGATTTTTATTTTTTTTCATATAAATGGAAATAATGTTTATAGCTTTATTGCTACATTTTTCTTAAGAAATTTCTGTTTCCTAGATCTTGTATTTGAAATAGTCAACTTTCTACTTTTGGAATGACAATGAAAAATGAGTGAAGGGTTCTAGGGTAATTTAGTACCACGTCCTTGAAATTCAAAATCTTGTATGAGTTGTGTCGAGGAACAGCTGAGGTTTAGAAAGGGGAAGCTCATACAGCATGACAATGTATTCACCATTTCACCCTCGAGATTCATTTTATAATATTTTGGAAAATGTCAAGAGAAATTCTTTTAGACAGAGGGTAGGAGAGGGGAGGGAAAAAGACTTAGTGTGTTGGGACCTTGTGTGTGGATTAAATGATAAGAGTTTTGTGAGATCCTGGACTTTCTTATGTAGCAAGCTGTGTGAGGCACTTGGGATAGAGTGGATTTGTCCAACATTTATTTTGGTGGACTAGCAAACGTCCTATATAATATAGGCTTTGGTTGGCATGCGGTGCAACAGTTCTATTGTGATCGGGTTATTTGGCTCTTCTCTGGGTGTTGTGTTTACAGTAGAATGTTGGAATTTTAAGACCAGAGATTTTCATTGGTCTTTAGTGGGCAGAATATTTAGTTGGCTTTTGTCCGAGCTATTGTATTTGTTTCAGGGTTTTCTTTAACCAGTACAGCATACATTGTTGTATAACATGGGTATAGTGTTTGGGTGGCTGTTTGCTATTTTCTTTTCCCTGTCTCAAGATTATAATTTTATTTTAACTGTGAAGTGATGAGTATTACTGATCATGTCTAATCTCTTATTATAACATTAAATGGTTATGCTAAAAAGGATTGTTTATAAACATAACAGTAACTTTGGTTGTCTAGCAGTCTGGCTAATACTCTCCTTTTACTCCCCTACTCTGTATGCCCCTGTAAAAATTAGGGGCTACCTTCCAAATTTTCAAAAAGATAAAGATCACCCTTTTTTTTTTTTTTGGGTAAGAGATCACTTTACATATCTTGATCAATAGTATGAAACTTTGAACTATCCATGTGATCCAACATTGACTAATTAAGAGCTGATATTGCCGAAGTTATCCCCCCCTCACTGAGATCCTTGTTCTCCGGTACCCTGTACTTTTCCGAAAAGCTGTCATTTATATGTGTGGATTGAACTTTCTGTGTAAGTTTACAGCAGGTGTTGGACACTTGCTCATTAATTTTTGTCTTTCTACAAGAATTTACAGTAGTTCATTGTTACAATCTTTCCAGAGCTGATCTTCATGAAGCATATTACTTAAAAAAAATTTTGTGCCATACTAATACTTTCTCTGTCAGTAGAGTTTTATAAAAATGGGTTACCTTTTCCACTAAGGTACCCTATCTTCTCTGTCGACATCTCAGTGAATGGGAAACTTAATATGTCAGTAGATTTTTTTTTTGGTTTAATTTTCTTTACCACTGAGGTACCATATCTCTGTTGTTGAAATTTTTATTTGAAGGGCTATATTTCTTCTTAAGGTGAGATTTTTTACGTGAATTTTGGTGTTGGGATGGCTAATCTTCGGAATATGTGCATTTTGTGGCGTGCCTGTAGTGAGTCCTGCTCATAGTTTTTCCTTTGTTGTGAAGGGGCATCTTAGTAAGTCATATTTGGAGGAGGTTTCTTTTTAAAAAAACTGATTTGGATCTGCTGCAACTCTTTTTTGTGGGGGTGGGGGTGGGGGTGTGTGTTGGGGGGGTGGGGAGGGGAGGAGACGAGCTTTGGATGGGCAAAGGAGACGATGTTGTGGCTTGCTTTGTGGTAGAGTGGAACACACAAATCTTCTCAGGGGATGCTTTAATTAGTGATTTGTTGTGTGATACAATTACTTATTTAGCTTCTTTAATGAGCTAAAGTAGTGCGGACTTTTAGTCGTGACTCCAAGTGGGTTTGTAATCTGTAATTTCTGAAAATTTGATTCTTTAATAGGCTTTTGCTTCCACGTAATAATGTTTAATATAATGCTTTCACAAAATAATGTTTAGAACAATAATGTTTGTTTGATGTGCATTCAAGGTAAACTGCATCCATCATTTGTTTACTGATACTGATAGTTTGATACTCCTGTGGGAGCTGTCATGCTAGATATTCATTTGTATCGTACTGTCTTTCACTTGATATGAATTTCTTCTAGTATAACTTGGTCTATTGTTTAATGTTGCAGGCTTGTTGTTGATAGTGTGTCAGATGTGGTAGACTATTGGGTAACATTTAATGAGCCTCATGTCTTTTGTATGCTGACATACTGTGCTGGTGCTTGGCCTGGTGGTAATCCTGACATGTTAGAGGTGGCAACTTCTGCTCTACCAAGTGGTGTGTTTAATCAAACCATGGACTGGATTGCCATTGCACACTCAAAAGCATATGATTACATCCATGAAAACAGGTTATATTTCTGCAGACTTCTGTGTGCAACTGAGAAAATCAAGCCAGAGGTCTTATGTTAACTAGTGCTCTCGTAAACACTGACTACATAACTGCACATCGTGTGTTCTGTGAAAATATTCCACTTTGCTTTGGGACATTCTTGCTTGTTTCATTACCACAAGAGATTATTGTAACTTTCAGAACAAGTAGAACACTGTCATCATTACTAGGTCCTAGAAGTTTTAGATATAATGTCTTGTGCTGGTTTAAAAGTCATGTCTTGTTGTCTATAAAAGTTATCATGCTTATGAAAGAAATTGAAGTTATCTTCAACCTGTACAAGTTTCTAGAAGCAATTCTCAGTATTTATTGACTATTAAACTATTGTTGCAGCAAATTATCAAAGCCACTTGTTGGCGTTGCTCATCATGTTTCATTTATGCGACCCTATGGACTATTTGATGTTGCTGCTGTTACACTCGCCAACTCCATGACTCTTTACCCCTTTATGGACAGCATATCTGAGAAGATGGACTATATTGGGTTAAACTATTATGGGCAGGTTGTTGTATACCCTGATAAATTGCGTCTGAAAAGATTTTCTTAGAAAAGGACCAAATTAATCAACTTCAGTTATTTACTGTGATTGCTGTCAGGAAGTTGTCTGTGGTGCTGGATTAAAGCTAGTAGAGATGGATGAATATAGTGAATCTGGACGAGGAGTTTATCCTGATGGCTTGTTTCGTATGCTTCTTCAGTTCCATGAGAGATACAAGCATTTAAACATACCATTTATTATTACTGAAAATGGGGTCTCAGACGAGACTGACATAATCAGAAGGCCATATATACTGGAGCATTTACTCGCCATTTACGGGGCCATGATTATGGTGCTTATAGTGACTCTTCCCTGTTTATAATTCAGCGTTTACCATTTTGACCATTTCTGAATCTCACATATCGTCACTTTTGTTATGCAGGGTATCCCTATTATCGGTTATCTCTTCTGGACAATTTCAGATAACTGGGAGTGGGCAGATGGATATGGACCTAAATTTGGACTTGTAGCAGTTGACCGTGCCAATAATCTAGCCAGGGTCCCACGTCCTTCTTACCATTTGTTTTCCAAAGTAATTATTTTTCTTTTTTCCTTTCCAAATTTAGTTTGACATGAGCAGCTGCGTTGCCATATACAATTCTGAGGTTTCCTTCATGGCTCATGTACATTTCAGGTGGCAACAACAGGTATAGTCTCACGTCAAGACAGGGAGAAAGCATGGAGGGAACTTCGTAGAGCTGCCAAAGGAAAAAAGACTAGGCCATTCTATCGAGCTATGGACAAACATGGCTTAATGTACGCAGGTAACTATGGCATGATCATGTTCTTGTTCCTAACCGAGACTGAATTTTTGCTCTCATTTAACTCTTTGTTTTAGATATAAAATTTGAAATTGGTAAGAATGGCTAGATTGATTATTGTTCTTGGACCCGGTTTAGTAAGATAGTAGGAGCATGTCACAATAAAATAACTGTAATTCTAGTTTCTTAGTTGGATAACATCCCAATTGTCCATTAATTTCCTAATATTGATCTCTAAAAGGGGGGCTTGACGAACCTGTATGGCGCCCTTACGCTGATCGAGATTGGCGTTTTGGACACTATGAGATGGAAGGACTACAGGATCCACTAAGTCGCTTCCTCAGATTTATTTGTCGACCTCTCAAACTCAGAAGGAAATCTGAACTTGAAGATGATGATGTTGAATTGGCCTTATTGCCTCTGGGTTCAACTGCCTGATGGGCAATCACTGGTATAAGAATATTTATCAAAGTTTTCTGCCAAGGAGCATTCTTCTAATAATAAAGGTAAAAGTAAATATGAAGTCTACCTCCGTTAACTATTATGTGCAACAAAGGAGTATTAGTTGTAAGACAAAAAATATTTCTTTGTTGCACATAAATTTATTAAGATGGCCAATTGCCTTCTGAAGTGTATGATACATGAGGCCCTTTCTGTTTTTCTGACCTGTTTTTTTTTTTTTTTTTTTTCCTCCGTGAAATTTATGGTGAAGGTACTCTGGAGAAATCTTAGAACAGTAGTTTGAGGTTTACTGAAAAATTATGGTTGGTAGTATGTAACAAATTAGAACTAGATCACAAACAAGCATTACTATTTGTTGGCATATGTTCTTTTTATCCATACCTCAGCCCTTTTCATTTCACCTTGAAAATTATTTATTTTTCTTATTAGTTCATATTAGCTCAGTTAAGGACCTATAAGTTCATTTTACAGCTAAAAATAAGTTGAGACGAGGTATAATATATGAAATCTCTAGGGTTCATTTTTGGAAATTACCAAATTCCAGGTTAGCTACTGAGTTCATTTTTGGAAATTACCAAATTCCAGGTACAATTGGCTCCCTGACCTGATCCACTGTTAAGAGTGTTAACCTAGTTTGACCTGTGCCATAGAGGATTTTAATTTGCCAAATCCAACAGTCGATAAACAGCAGTTTTAAAAGGTTGGGGGTGATGTGCATTGATCCTAGCCCTTGCTGAGCTATCCCCTGAAAATTTTCAGGCTACGTCACTAGTTGCATTGCTTACCAGTATTTCCTTCCGCTTTTTATATGTATTACTTGGTCGAACTTTTACTTGATATTTGCATGAACTACTTAACATTCTGTACTTTGTGACATTGTATCAAGTTTTGAAAGATTAAGTTTATAGTATCACAAAATTTACATATTCTGAGTGTGATCAAGAATTTCTTATAAACACAAAAGGTACAAATTCTTTCCTGGTTTTAGGTGTAGTATGTGCTCTTCAGTAATTCTTGTGGATGGATATATTGGTTTGGATTAATCGTATGTCATTGTATATCCCTTTAATTCTTATATGTAGTATATTGGTTTGGATATTATATATGTGTTCAGAACAGAGTAGCTGACTGCCGTATCCCTCATTACATTAAGCATTGATATATTCCTTGTCTTTCCTAATCATGTATGGATAATGATCTGAAGCGAATTTTACTTGCCGCATAAGGCCTAATTCTTGAAACAGCAAGGTGGTGCTCAGAGATTCTCTCTGATGTTTATATTATTTGTCAGAAAGCTCTGCCAGTGTAAGTCAAGTGCATATTGATATGCAAATTTGTAAATCTTCCAATATTTAAAATTTGTATTTCCATTTCAATAAGATCCAAATGCATATTGATTTGGATCTGTTGTTTCCTGAAATTTGTATTCAGATATTTCTAATGTACACAGAAATATTTAATGTACATTAATATCTATTAATCTAATGCATACATGTTATTGATCATGAAATTTCGGATTCAAGTCAACACTATAAGTCATTTCCCCAATCCCAGAACTCCTCAAAAGACAAATTAGAGCTGATGAAGAAAAGTAGTTTCTAAGCTTAAGCTCCAGTTTCAGGTTGCTATCATGCTAAACTCAGTGGTGGTCGCTATTGGAGTCTTCCACTACATACCATTGTGGACCGGAGTTGTATTATACTTGATGTTGACGTTCCAGAAGAGTACAGATCGAGAAGTGATATATGATGAATTAATTCATCCATTCCCTTCTATCTATCTCTTTATGAGTGTGGCAGATAACTCCTTATCTTTGCACTTTGCTTGAGTACTGATCTCGTGATATTGGTCTTTGAACATATGATGCCCACTTCAGTTAAAGTGGTATTCAACCATAGTTTTCTCGTGCGTTTGTTCCGCATGTTCTAACGAATGTGGTATTCAACACTTGTTTACCTAACTTTGGACATTTAGCTTTTAGCATATCATCAATTTGCAAGCAAGTTAAGTGGCCAAAGAGGAAGTGGGATAATGTGCTGCATTAAGATACACAATTACATTGCTTAGTCCGCCACTTGTAAATTTTTTTTTTTTTTTTAGAATGGTGCTTTAGTCTGCCGCTTGTAAATTATTTTATGCATCCAGGAGTATTTAGAATGGTGCTTTTAGTTTGGCGCATGCATGATATGTTCGCATGCAATAGGTGAGCATGCTCTTCACACATTGCGCCTAACACACTGTATCACTTTTACTCCCCAGCCGAAAGAAATGTATGACAAAAGAACTTGTAATTTTCACTGTAATATTGTGGAAAGTTCAATTTAGAGCATAATGCTCGTCGAAATTGATAAAAAGTTGAAGATGCTTGAAAACTTGCCATACTTTTGACCTTTACTTTTAGCAAGGTGGACCTGTGATCTCCATAATAGAATGGATGAGGTGCGCCAACGATCATCCTCTGTGAATAGTTATTGATTGGTGTGCAAAAAAGTGTTACATCAGCTCTATATATATTCACAGACTGATATCTGAAAGTAGGCTCCAGAAGTAGCTTTTCACGTTATCTTGATCCTATGATGAGCAGCATAACTAAAATTCTTTCTCTTCTCATCTTTATTGTATTCTATATTACATTCATTAAAGCATCTGAAACATTCGCTGTGTCAGAAGAAGATGACAGCAAGATACTAAATTTACCAGGTCAACCATCAAACCCACCAATATCACAGTACTCAGGTTACATCACTGTCAACCAAAATAATGGCAGGGCCCTATTTTACTGGTTCTTTGAAGCTCTTTCACAGCCTTCCGATAAACCTCTCATACTCTGGCTGAATGGAGGTATGTATATTAACGCGTTCAGTAGTTGTTTGTACACTATTTTCTTTTTAACTTCAGTGCTTAAAAGTTATTTTCCATTATGTAGGACCTGGTTGCTCATCAGTAGGATATGGCGCTGTTGTGGAATTAGGTCCTCTTAAAGTTGATGAAACTGGTGTTGGTTTGCTCTTCAATAACTTTTCATGGATAACAGGTAATTATCAGCTCATGTTCACTACCATATACGAAGTATTTCTCTTAGTACTTAGCAAAATCTCGAGTATGGGCTGTATCACAATAGCTTATAGTGAGATTAGCAGGTTGACTTTAGGGGTGCCTGGTTAATTTTCAGGCCAACTCATTTTAATATGTTTGCTGAATTAGTGTGAGATGGTTTCACCTAAGACTGGATTTTTTTTTACTTTCCTTCTGTATCATGCTATCTGTAGAAGCAAATTTGCTCTTCGTGGAGTCCCCTGTTGGAGTAGGGTTCTCTTATACCAACACATCCTCTGACCTCACCAAATTGGATGATGAATTTGTAGGTAAGTTTTACATGGATTGATATTACTCATCTTCGCTACAACTTTTTATTTACTTATCAAGTTGTCATTGCTTCAGATAACTTACCTTTATTGTTTTGTGTAAAGCTGAGGATGCATACAGTTTCTTAGTAAATTGGTTTGGGAGATACCCACAGTTCAAGAACCAAGACTTCTTCCTAGCCGGAGAAAGTTATGCAGGTAATTCAGATAATGTCTTTTAAGTTATTGCTTCATTATACGGACAATTAGTAGCAACTCCAAATTCCAAACTTTACCAGTTTCTCTCATCTAATATATTTCCCCTTTCATAGGTCACTATGTTCCTCAACTGGCAGAGCTTATTTTTGACAGGAACAAGGATCAGACTATGAACCTGAAGATTAATCTCAAAGGTTTCCTAGTATGTACACTGCCATACTGCCATGTACAATTGTACATTGATATTCTTAAAAACGTCGATCCACAGAAATTTAATATTGCTTTAAATTAATTTCCTGTGCAGGTAGGGAACCCTGAAACTGATGATTTTTATGACTCAAAGGGTCTGTTAGAATATGCTTGGAGTCACACTGTAATAAGTGATGATATGTATAATAAGACTAAAGAAGTGTGTGATTTCAAGACCTTATATTGGCCGAAGGAATGCGTGACTGCCATGAATTTGGTTTATGGAAAATACAAAGAAATCGACTTTTACAACATATATGCTCCAATTTGTCTTTCAAACAGCACTTCATCAGAAGCTTATTATACTAATAAGGTAAGCCATCACCCTTATCATGGTACAAGAACCATCTTTCCCTGTGCATATTTTGAAGCTTTTTACCCCTTTGAACTTATTTCTCCCAAACTTTTTTTCTAAGGTGAAGATACAAAGCCTTTATTCATTGCTACATGAATAGTTTGTGGGTACATTTTTTACAGGAGGAAAATTATGGATTGAGGAGGCCAAGAATATATTCAGGGGGGTATGACCCTTGCTATTCAAACTACGCAGAAACGTACTTCAACAGGGCAGATGTACAAACATCGCTTCGTGCAAATGCTAACAGAGGGACTTCAAATACTAGTGTCAAGTGGAATGTTTGCAAGTAAGCTAACTAATGCTGTTGTTGCCGTGAGCTGTGAGTATTGATTATTTAGGAAAAACATAAACTAGATTGCAGAATTAAAGCCATTTTCCAGATTTCTATAGTCAATCTTCATAGTTACGACTTGTTTATACAGTTGAAATGTAAATTCAAGAATTGAAAATTTACAGTGATACCGAAAAAGTTAGCTACTTCCAGTCTTTTCTATAAGATAAGATGCTCGGCATATACTATTTGAGTTGATAATTACCCAATTTACCCCCTCGATTTTCCTTTTTCAGCGACAACATTCTGAATACATACAACGCTACAGTTCAATCTGTCCTATCAATCTACAAGAAACTGATGCAAGGTGGTCTTAAGATCTGGGTTTACAGGTATATCTCTGATTGATGGCATAAAGTTATTTTTGATATTTTTTTTGCTTCATCATCCACCACCTTGTAGATCACAGGAATTAGAAGTTTCGTATTCTTAATATAGGCATGACTGGTGAATTTGGAGGGTTGTATTTTGTGCTAAAAAACGAGGCTTATTAATAAATTGAACCAGACATTGAAAGTTACTTCATACTAAATAAAGTGTTACTTGGAACAGCGGAGATGTCGATGGAAGAGTCCCGGTGATTGGAACTAGGTACTGGGTTGAGTCACTTGGGTTGCCAATCAAGACACCTTGGCGTTCCTGGTACCATCAACATCAGGTAAATTAATCTTTTCTCGCCTCTCTACAAATTAAGGTACACTCAATCTATATACAACTATACAAGTACAAAAAAAAAAAGGACTCTCGTATTGGATAGAGGGAGTAATAGTAACGATGTCTGCAAGGCTGCAACAGTATAAGAACTAACGCTGCTGGTATGTCAACTATAATTGTAAATGCAGGTAGGAGGAAGATTAGTGGAGTACGAAGGTTTAACTTTGGTGACTGTTCGAGGGGCAGGTCATTTGGTACCTCTGAATAAGCCTAGTGAAGCACTTGCTCTGATTCACTCTTTTTTAACAGGAGAAGATCTTCCAGCAAATAGATGAACTTAGGGTGTTTCATGTTTATCGATTGATATGTCATGTCTATAGGAGGCGTAAAATAAAACAAATAGCAATAAGAAATTCGTATATTTTGTTACACGATTGTTATGTACTACTAGTTAAGGTATGATTTCTTACAGTTATACTAGAAGATGAATTCTCTGTTTTATGTTAATTTAGCAATTGGTTCACAGATTTTCTATTAACAACACATTCATTTCCTAATTCCAAATTTCCAGCAATCAGAAATGTGTATATTTAATAATTGTATATGACCTATTAACCTTATTAAACTAATACTACTGCCATTTCTATACTTGAGCCTGTTATACTCGCGCCACCACAAAATTGGCACAATTGAATTGGCACGGAGGTTTTGAACAATTGTTTATATTAAATGAAATGAAAGTTTGTAGAATAAAGATGCTAACATATGCTTGTCAACTTTGATAATGCAGGACACTGGTTTTTTAACCGATATGTTACTTCAGAGAGAGAGACTATAGAGCAGGCTGCAAATTCAGCATCAGTCATTTTTTTATGGGTGTCAATTTCTTCCAGTAATTTGGTCTGTCTGGCATTATTCTCACAAAACAATTTTGTGCCCAAGAGCCTATTCTCTTGAGCGTAGCACCAGAACATCCAGATCTTTCTGGTTTTGTGGTTGTAAATTCTGTTTTACTTATTCCCATGAAACTCCAGTACAATTCAGTGTATACCTGCTGGAACTGATATTAACTGATTCGCTTTTGTAGTTCACGCAAACAGATGGTAATCTTCCTGTTACTGAGGACTGTGAGGAGCCTGTGCACACCCCTGTTCCCTGATAGATATATTCTCAATATTTCCTTGACCCTACAGTTTAACGCCAATTATTATAGTGATTTTATTCTTGCTTTAAAAACTATCGTTTGACAACAATTCAATATTTCGATAATAGAAAAGGAGACATTACTACACTATTGGGCAAGATTGGAACCAAACAAAAGTCTACATTCGGTCGTAGATAACTAAATATCCATGAAATTTGACAGATTTTCAGGTGATTTGAAAACTAAAATATCAACCAAAAACAATAACTGGGATTGTCAAAGATGCTGTTTAGCTTATTACATAATACGCTAACTCGCTTAGCAGAAGCATATCATTAAAGCCTTCAAATTCTCAACAGCAGCAAACAAGGACTTCTTTGAGAATTACAGGAAATATTATGTTCATTTCAGAGCAACCATACTTAACTTATAAACAACAAAAACTATCTTATGTCCTTTTTAAAAGGGAAACAGAATATAGGATGTGCTTGTATCTGCAGGGATAGCAGTGGCAGGGGTAGGAATGGAAATCTATGGATGCTCAGCTTTGGAAGGAGAGTTATTCTCAATCAAAATGCCTCTAACAATGATCCAGACCAACAACTGGACCAACTGCATCATAGCAACAGATTGCAAACAGACCTTGGAGCTAATCAGAAACAGGGAGCTACATGACAACAATAGACTAACCAGCATCTTGACAAATTGCAGGGAGCTCCTGGACCATCAGTCAGGTACAACCCTGTGCTTTGAAGCAAGAGGAGGGAACATGGCTGCAGATCTTTTGGAAAGGAAGCAAGGCGGAGAAATGATCTTTTGTATAATTTGGCTACCTTTGAATTCCCTCCTCTGGTTTGTAATCCTAAAAGAGAAACTAGAAATTCAAGCTATAAATACTGCTGGTAGAATGGGGGAGAGGGCTGATCCTCCCTGACTCTTTTGTAAAAACTCTTCTATGTTTTAAGCTTTAATGTTCTCTTTCTACCAAAAAAAAATATACTGAACTTGTACCATTTTGAGTAAAGTCAAGGGGAAATTCACATCTTACAGAGACTTTTAACCTGGACCCAAGGATGATGCTATAATAGCATATGTATGAGAATTGAGAAAATTGGAAATCCACTAAGCTTTTATCCTTTTCTTTTCGGTTGCCAAAATACATAGAAATCAGCACAGCAGAAGGACTAACACAGAAGGCTATCACCCTATCTAAACTGGAGACTTAATCTACTCAGAACTTTTACGTCACCTACCAAATGGAAATAAAAGGTAAGTTTTCTTGGGAATTCAGTGAGAATGCCGTTGACAACCAGCCAAACAAAACTAATCTGACATTGTGGTTATGTTGACTCCAAAAGTCCAAATAGGAGACTGACAATTAAACAACCCATAGAAGAATTTCGCAAAACACCTCGATGAAAAAGATCCCAAGACAATGACAATGTAAAGTATGTAACATTATGAGAATAAAACCAAATTTACAAGCTAACAATTTACTATTGCAACTATCCTGTTTATTTTATATTCACAGGTTCAATTACAAACACCAAGGGGACTACTTCCAAATTCATCTATATGGCATAATAATACATGAGTTTGAGATAATATGTACAGATATTCACCTGATCTTGCCAACTTAGTGAAACGAATATATTGTACTCCGAAATGCATATGCAGAGAACCACAAAGGAAGCGTTGAGTTGCTTTTCACTGAATACATTTCTTTCCAAACGGCAGTGCTCCTATTGTAGACCAACACCTGCTTGTGTGTAGCCAGGAAAACACAATCACCTGTCTGACTTATAGGGAAAACTCCCGGCGCCAATCCTCTGATACATCTAAGACTCACCCTATCAACCCTTCTCCATAATTGTTTCTCATAGTCCTCCATCACCCATACATCCATTGAAGCATCAGAAATCTGAACCACAGACAAGCAACCATATGATTCTAATAAATACATCCTATTTCCTTTTCCGTAACTCATTTCATCTGGCAAATAAATCTTTCTCCAAACATCAGTCTCCAAATCTAACACAATAATACACGAATAACTCACTGTCAACCAATGTAGCATCCCATTCACAAAAACAACCTGATTTCTGTTCATTTGAGTAAAATGTTCCTCCTGTAATGTTACAAACTTCCTCCATTGGTTTATCTCCGAGTTATACACCATACATATAAACGTCTTAGTCGGGCTATAACCAAATGGGCGATGATACCCGGCCAACACAACACTGAACTTCCTAGTATCATACAAATCACAAGCGATACCAACCAAAGTAGCCTCGCCGTCAGGATAAAAGCTAGTGACAGGCCTCTCCCTACATTTGGGGAGCAATTTATACTCCCTAGTCACAGGATTACACAAATAAAAACACACCCTTATCAGGTATACTTGAGCAGCATAACAACCCATTACATGAGGCTCTAACTTTAACCCTATCTTTCAGAAAATTTAATGGAAATTCAGATACACCCTTTGAATAATCAACACAAATTAAGCTTGATTTAGACTCTGAAATCTCAGTAATTTCAACCAAAATCATAGAACTCCTAACTGACATTTCATTATACAGATGAACAAAGTACCTTTCTGAGAGCAATTGGTACCAGTATTTACAAACTGCCCTGAATCTAAAGACAGATTTTATTGGCAGTCTTGATAAAATCTGAAGAATTACTTCATCTGGGAAAAACCCATTTCTTGAACCGATTGAATTCATCTTCTAATTACTGTATAATCCAAAAAGTAGGGAAATATCAACAATTATACCCAAAAAAAAAATGATCCTTCGACCCCAAAAAAATATTTTGAAAAAAGAAGTTAGAAATTTGCGAAGTTAGAAATTTGCTTACCGGTGAAGAAAACTTGAGAGCTGGGATTTGAAGATGCGTTTTTTTCATATGTATCAAATGTCAAATAGGGTTTATATAAAATTAAAATCAAATCAAAGAATTTTTAATGACTTAGTAAAATTTTTTTCGGACCAGTATAGATAAGCAGTTTGTAGAACTATGATGATTGATGAAAGAAAACATGGTCAGAGAAAAATTGAGAGTTCCGAATTCCGAATCTAAGATAATGTGATCCACGTTGATTGAATTTGCCCCTAACTTTTTTTTTTTTTAATAAAACCAATTTGCCCCTAACTTTGTTTTGTAATCCCTCCGTATTTTAACAAATGTTCCATTTTAACCGACACATAATTTTAGTCCATTTAATTGATTTAAATATAAGAGGTAAATGGAATAGCTGAAATATTACAAAATTATAAAAGAAAGATAATGAGTTTAGTAGTTTATTGAAAAGTAATGAATATAAGAGGAAACTATATAATAAAAAAGTAGTAGTGGGTTTGGGTGGGGAGTCTGGGGACCATGAAAGAAAATAGATATATAGTATTATAATATTTAAATTTAATTCTTTGCTACAAAAAGAAGTATAACACTTATTAAGAGTTTGTTCAAATTAACTTAACTGAACTGATTAGAGCTGAACTAAACCGAACTAGATATTTTATGAGAGAGAGAAATTAGGAGCTGAATTGAATTGATTGGAGTTGAGCTGAACTAAACTGAACTGAATTGAATTGAACTGAAATTAAGTAAATGTAAACAGGCCCTAAAACACGGAGGGAGTACGACAAACAGGGGTGAACACGGTTTGGTTTAGTGCGGCACCAGAAAATACGGTTTGGTCAATTTTTCAAACCAAACAAAACCAAACCATATTAGTATTGAAACGGGGCCAAATCAAATCGTAACAATACAGTTTGATTTGCGGATTATGATGAGACGCCATATTTCCCAAACTCGACATTGTTGTAGAGATGCTAAATTTTTTTTAAAAAATATTTAATAAACATATTGAATAGATTAAAGCATGTATAGAACAATTCATTACTAATGTTAATTACAGAACAATTCAAACATTCATGGTAATTGGGTTTTAGGGTTTAGGGTTTAGGGTTTTAGGGTTCAGGGTTCAGGGTTCAGGGTTTCAGGGTTTCAGGGTTTAGGGTTTAGGGTTTCAGGGGTTCAGGGTTTCAGGGGTTCAGGGTTTCAGGGTTCAGGGTTGAGGGTTGTAGGGTTGTAGGGTTTAGGGTTTAGGGTTGTAGGGTTTAGGGTTTAGGGTTGTAGGGTTCAGGGTTGTAGGGTTGTAGGGTTGTAGGGTTTTAGGGTTGTAGGGTTGTAGGGTTGTCGGGTTGTAGGGTTGTCGGGTTGTAGGGTTTAGGGTTGTCGGGTTTAGGGTTTAGGGTTTAGGGTTGTAGGGTTGTCGGGTTGTAGGGTTTAGGGTTGTCGGGTTTGTAGGGTTTAGGGTTTAGGGTTTTAGGGTTTAGGGTTTAGGGTTTAGGGTTTAGGGTTTAGGGTTTTTTAGGGTTTAGGGTTTAGGGTTTAGGGTTTAGGGTTTTAGGGTTTAGGGTTTAGGGTTTTTTTAGGGTTTGTTTAGGTTTAGGGTTTAGGGTTTTTTTTTTTTTTTTTTAGGGTTTAGGGTTTAGGGTTTAGGGTTTAGGGTTTAGGGTTTAGGGTTTAGGGTTTAGGGTTTAGGGTTTAGGGTTTAGGGTTTTTAGGGTTTAGGGTTTAGGGTTTAGGGTTTAGGGTTTGTTTAGGGTTTAGGGTTTTTTTGGGTTTAGGGTTTAGGGTTTAGGGTTTAGGGTTTTAGGGTTTAGGGTTTAGGGTTTAGGGTTTAGGGTTTAGGGTTTTTAGGGTTTTTAGGGTTTAGGTTTTAGGGTTTAGGGTTTAGGGTTTAGGGTTTTTAGGGTTTAGGGTTTAGGGTTTAGGGTTTAGGGTTTAGGGTTTAGGTTTAGGGTTTAGGGTTTAGGGTTTAGGGTTTAGGGTTTAGGGTTTTAGGGTTTAGGGTTTAGGGTTTTAGGGTTTTAGGGTTTAGGGTTTAGGGTTTAGGGTTTAGGGTTTAGGGTTTTTTTAGGGTTTAGGTTTAGGTTTAGGGTTTTAGGGTTTAGGGTTTAGGGTTTAGGGTTTTTAGGGTTTAGGGTTTTTAGGGTTTAGGGTTTAGGGTTTAGGGTTTTAGGGTTTA